TCAAACAATAATGACCTCTGGGGTTTCAGCTCAATGCTCAGAGTTGATTGCAGTCATTCACGTTTTATAGCTCACAGCTTCAGATCTTATCAACATTGGCTGTGATTCATCTTATGTTGTACATGTAGCCAGTCATATAGAAACTGCTATAATTAAAAGTACTCTAGAACCAGAACTACTTAATTCGTTCCTAAGACTTCAACAAACTATTCACTCTCATGCAGCTCCTTTTTGTATTTCTCATACTTGCTCTCACACACAACTACCTGGAGCACTATCTCTAGGTAATGATAGAGCAGATACATTGATTGGTTTGTGTTTCAGCAAGCTCAACCCTCTCTTGTATTACTGCATCAAAACACCTCTGCCCTTACTCATATGTTTTGCTTGTCTCACAGCCAAGGTAGGTCTATAATAGAAGCCTGTCCTGCTTGCCAGCATGTCTCTGGAGCCACACCTGTAGAAGGATGTAATCCACGAGGCTTGGCTCCAAATGAAATTTGGCAAATGGATATTACACACATAGCAGCCTTTGGTAAACTTCATGTGCCTATAGACACTTATTCACATATGCTACATGCTACATGTCAAACAGGTGAGACAGCTGGTCATGTGCGGCAACATTGTCTGTTGTCCTTTGCTCATATGGGGATATCTAAACAATTAAAAACTGACAATGGACCTGCTTATACTAGTCATGCTTTCCAAAATTTCCTACAGCTTTGGGCTATAACCCATAAAACAGGAATTCCTTATAATCCTAGAGGACAAAACACTAGAGAGTGGGCACATCAAACATTGCAACGCATATTGGAAAGACAAAAAGGAGGAGTAGGAGACAAGTTACCACTGCAATCAAAGTTACATTTAGCCTTATTTACTTGAAATTTTTTGACTGCTAGTATGGATGGTAAGACTGCAGCAGAAAGACATTGGCCACTGTTAGAGAAAAAGAGGAGAGGTTTTCCAAAAGTGTTATGGAAATCTCCAGAAAAAGCACAATGGAAAAGTCTGGTGGATTTACTGACATGGGGATGAGGGTATACTTGTGCTTTTACAGGAGATGGACAAACCGTGTAGGTGCCTTAAAGGTGCATGCGACCCTGGAACAGGAGACTGGAGGAGCCCAGGGCGGCCAGCGATGGGCCCGGTCCCTCCATTATGAGCCATGAGCCAGCTGATCCTGAGTGCGAAGACAGAGAGAAGGCTCATCAGAGTCACAACAACATCAACCCCCATAAACTGGGGGCAACTCAGGAAAACCATGCAGGAAGCTAAGAAACTACTGGAGCATCAGGACAGGCAAAAACCCCTGATTCCATGTTCTTGGCTATGATAACCATAATGTCTTTTGTGGTATGTTTTCCTTGTGCAGAGGCAAAAATATATTGGGCATATATTCCTAATCCCCCAGCAGTACGGCCTATACCCTGGAGTGACACTCCCCCTGAGATCTATCATGATCAGGGAGCGTCGACTCCAGGACCCCTAACTCCCCCTGACATAGAACAGTTAGACTCTCAGAACAATGTCATCAATTATACCGCTCTACTGGAAGGACCCCTTTGTGTATCGCCGCAAAGACGTCGTTCAGCCATAGCTGTCTTACAAACTCAAGCTCAAACATGGTTGAGTCACTATGGAAAAACCATGTACTTGTTAAATCTTGGTTCTATTAATGTAACTGGTGTGCTAACTGACCATTCCCAGGCCAGTCGCCCTAATTGTGCTGACCATAAGGAATGGATTCCCTTCAATAGTTCCTATCCCCCTCTGTGGACCCAGTGTCTTGGCCCACTGGCTAAAAAACAAACTATGTTAACTGGAGATATTGTGGATTGGGGACCTAAAGGTCAACTAGATGGAAAAGCTAATAATCAGCAATCACGGCACAAACTTCCCTGGCATTGGTGGCGAGCTCATAATCCTTCTTCTTTGTACCACACCAGGCTCCAATCCCATTCTGCTGCCCAGATTGCTTGGCATGGAGCAGGCTTTAGCCTGCCTCTTCCTCAGGGGCATTATTTAGGGAGGAAAGGACCAATCCAAGAGATGTTATGGAAGGCAGCACTCCCATTTATGAATGGCAGCATCTGGATTGGGATATTATCCAATAACAGCAATAGTAAGCAACACAGTTTTAATGTTACATTTGTAGGGAATATCACCACTCAATTTACGATTTGTGTTTTCACCTGTAAATCTTGCCAGTTATATCACTGCATTAATCATAGCACTTTGCAAACACATAATATCCCTACCTTGATAATTTTGGGTCGTGTCCCTTGACTATGGACTCCTGTTAGTCTGTCCAAGCCTTGGGCTGCCACACCTGCTTTGCATTATGTGAAACTTTTTCTAACTCGGCTTACTCATCATGCCCGTAGAGCCTTAGGCATGATAAGTTTTGCTCTTGTTTCCTTGGTCACACTAATAACTTCTGTTGTGATGTCCTCTGTAGCTTTGCACAGTTCTATTCAAACAGCTTATTACATGGAGAACTGGAAGTGTATGGTCGACCAGGCATGGCTACTTCAGAATAAAATTAACACTGAGTTACAGACTGAAGTGGTAATCTTGAAATCCATGGTTCTATGGTTAGGAGAACAAGTACAAAGCTTACAGTTGCAGCAGCAATTGCATTGTCATTTTAATGACACTCATATTTGTGTAACCAACTCAGAATGTAACCAAAGTGAGTATCCATGGGACCTTGTGAAAGTCCATTTGCAGGGAGCTTTCACATCTGACATCACCTTTGATATTGGTGAATTACAAAACAAAATTCTTGACTTAAATAAGCAAACTCAAGAATTTCAGCTTTCTTTATAAGCCTGGACTGAATTCCAGCAAGGCCTGGAGAGCCTCAATCCTTGGACCTACCTAAAACACTACCTTAACATCTCACATGTAATTCTGCGAATAATGTTGTTTTGTCTCTGTCTTCTGTTCATAGTCTGTAAAATTGAATGGACCACCAGTCAGAAAATGAGAGCTGCCCAACCTAGCCTTACATTCTTTCAATTAATACATAAACAGAAAGAGGGAAATGTAGAGAGCCGGAGGCTGGAGAATCATGACCAACTCAGCATTCCCCAGAGGCTATATGGTCAAACAGCAAACTGTTTACCATGAATACAGAATGTGAGCAAACTTGCTTCTGTGCCAGCCCAGAAGGTTTGCTGAGGGCAATCACTCCCTGGTGCCGGATTCCTTGAGGTTATGTACTGGGACATCTAGAGCCTATTGTTCGAGGAATGCAGTCTTGCAAACCTGCTCTGGATCAAGCAGCAGACTGACACACACCCTCTTCTCGCTATCTCTTTTCAGTAAATATGAAGGCAGCTCAAACCTCAGGGTCCTTGTTCACTAAGAGCAAGGTGCCCCCTGATCCCTTCTTCCAAATATACTCTTCTGTCTTTTGTCTTTATTCCCCTGTTCATCCTCCTTGGTTCAGTCCAACAGGGACCGTGGCAATTTAGTCAATGCAAGATCAATACCTTCATATTTATTTTTTGCCTTATGCAATATTTTTCAACATTTTCATGAGTTGTTGGTCATCACTATCTCTATTAACTTTCAACAGTTTGCCCTTGTAAGTCACAAACAGTGATGCTGCTGCAATTATTTTTCACTAACATGACTCAGATATCTGCAGTGATTTTACTTTTGATATTATTCACAATGTAAAATGCTCCTATTTATTCATTTCACTTTTACCCACAGGATTATTTTAAGTGAATTTTGTCATTTTCACACTTCAATAAAACATAAAGACAAAACATCAAACATACATGCAAAGTGTTTTACATATGTGTATATTTCCACACATATATGTATATGTTTATACGTATTGAAACTACAGAAGCACATGTCACCAGTGAGAGCTCTGAGACACCTTTGACCACTTACCCTCATCAGATGATATTTGACAAATGAGTTTTGGGAACAAATTTCTTTTAACTGAATTTCTGAGCTTTGTGGATTTAGAAATGCAAAGGAAGGTTTGTGAACATTTACAGGGATCACGGTTTTATTCTCCTTAAAACTCTTTGATACTTTCCCATTGTCTTTAGTATAAATCCAAAATCCTAACGCCATCCACGAGACTCTTAAATACCTGGCTTCTTGTGATTTCTCCAGGCTCATCTTTTACCCTCCTTTGCCTCAGCCTCTCTGCTTTAGTGAACTTTGTTCTAGTTTCTTGAAGAAGTTCATCAATTCAAGCTTTTGTCTATGGGATTTCCTAAACCTGAAATGTGTCTCCCCCGTTTTGTCCAAACACACACAGTCTCCACTCTGCCCCTGGCTCACACCTGCTTAACCTGTCAAGTCCCATCTGAACTGTCACTCTTCAGAGGGTCCTTCTCTGGCACCCTAATGTAATTGAGATCATCCTATTATTCTCTGTTCTAGAACTCCACACTTCTGATATTTCTCATTCCTGTCTAAGCTCTTGTGTGTTTGGTTTTTGGCCATCACTTTCACTGCTCTTCAATCTCCCCTAGCAGAGTGGAGAGGTCTGTTTTCCCTTGTTTGGATTCCTAGAGGCAGCGCAGGCAGGCACAAGGTCAGCACTAAGGAAGTGTTCACAGGATGAAGGCCATGGGTGCTATTTAAGGAGGGGTAAAGCGTGTGGGATGAGAGAAGGAGCAGAGTGTCTTTGGGGTGGAGGCTCCCAGGAGGAGGCGGCGCGGGCTGCAGTGCTGGGCAGATCCTCCTCCAGCTCCTGCTTGGAGGTCTCCAGAACAGGCTGGAGGCAGGGAGGGGATCCCAAAAGCCTTGGAATCAGTGGTAGTTTTCCCGCCTGGTGTCCCAAACCCCGTACGCCTTGGGAAGACAAAGGATGAGTCCCTGGGCTGTACGTGGTCAGGGTTGCAGGTGGGGCGGATCAAGGTTCCCAGGGCCTGCACCCCGCCCAGGGAGTCCTGGATGGGGCGTCGGTGTCAGTGTCTTCCTCGGAGGCCATCCCTGTGACTGGATCGTTCGTGTTCCCACAGCAGGTTTCTTGGAGCAGGCTAAGTGTGAGTGTCATATCTTCAATGGGACTGAGCCGGTGCAGTACCTGAACAGATACATCCATAAACGGGAAGAGAACCTGCGCTTCCACAGCGACCTGGGGGAGTTCCAGGCGGTGACACAACTGGGGCGACCTGTCGCGGAGAACTGGAACAGCCAGAAGGGCATCCTGGAGGAGAAGCCGGACAAGGTGGACACCTACTGCAGAAACAATTACGGGGTTTTTGAGAGCTTCACAGAGCAGCCAAGAGGTGAGAGCGGCAGGGGGCGGGGCCTGAGTCCCAGTGAGCTGGAAATCTGAGAGTATGTGTGTGTGTCTGTGTGTGTGTGTGTGTGTGTGTGTGAGAGAGAGAGAGAGACAGAGAGAGAACCATCTGTGACCCTAGAGTCCCCTCAATCCCAAGCAAGCAGTTCTGAGAGCACAGGTGTGTGTAGAATGTGGATTTGTCTGTGTCTATGTGGCCATTGTGGGAGGGGAGGCAGCAGTCGGCTTCTTCTTATCCTTGAAGGCCTCTGTGGGGAGGTGACATGGGAAGTGGGAGCAGGTGGCTGGACAGAGAGGAGACCTTGATTGTCCTGGATCCTTAGAGATGCAGGGAAGGGAAGTGTAAGGTGTATGTGGTTGGGGGTGAAGGTTTAGGGGAGGAGAGCTGAGGGGTATGGAAGGTTCGGGAGAATGTGAGGAGGCCAGTTCCAGACTGTCCCTGGCACACACCCTTCATGTAATCTCTGAAATAAAAGTACATGGTGTTTGTTTGCAAAAGCATTACATTAACTTCCAGGAGAACGGAGGAGACCTCTGAGGCAATTCTGAAGCTTATTTAGGTGTAAATTTCTTTTTTTGTTTGTTTTCTTAGTGTGTATATTTTTACATAGCTGAAATGATTGTGAAACTAACTTCTTGAATTAAAGTTTTAACACATTGTTATTATTTTATTATAATGCTAAAAGTTTTCCAGTAGTTACGTATTATTCTTTTATATGTAGGAGTTGTGACACAACTTACGTCACTTTCTCTTTTGTTGACCTTTATTATGACATTCTCCAAAAGCTGAAAATGTTTGTTTCTGGTTAATTTTTAATTTATATTTTTTGATTTGTAATTCTTTTAAATAATTTTAACCTATTTGTGTGCCGGTTATAATTACTGCTCTAAGAATTCCCTATTGTCCATAAAAATCCTAGAGGAAAACCTAGGTAGTACCATTCAGGACATAGGCATGGGCAAAGACTTCATGTCTAAAACACCAAAAGCAAC